TTGAAGAATATAATACAAAATAACACATCTATTTGCTAACTTGATGGAACATTTAACATTGGATGTGGATATGTGACAAGCTTATGAGAGCTTAAGAAGAAACATCTTCAATAATAAAAATGGTAAATTCTTCCTGGGGTGAAATGCGACTAAATAAATTACTTCTAGATGCTCTTGAATTCCAGCTTCTAAATCTATGTCGCCTTAATAAGCATCAAGCTTGTAACTTCCATATCTATCAAAATATTCAACAATCTACATTAAGATGCACACAGAAAATTAAGAATTATAAATTTTCAAAATTGTATGGTTTGCTATAACTACTTTCATTACTTTGGTCAAAAACTTGAATAGCATCTGTCATTTTATCATGTGTCTGCCCTTATATCCAAATAGTATATGCAAACTGGTTCGAGCTCAGGTGCACCTGAATAACTGACCCACCAAGTTTCTGACTAATCTAATGAAAATATGTATGATATATATAGTGGCAGAAAAAAGATGATATTTACACTGAAAATACGGTGATTTATTTGAAAGAAAGTTAAAGTGTAATCAATAGCGAGAAGTTCATTGTATATATCCTTTAACATCTCTATAGAATATTTTTTCTAAATTTGCTAAGTTGTCATACTAAAAAAAATACAATTTATAACGGGACACCCTGTACTACCAATCACCAAACCTCTAAAGTATGCTATATTAATATTCCTGCCTTGGAAATGTCTTTCTGATTATCTATCTCCCAACAAAAGAAGATTGATATAGCTTGCTACGTTTTGATGAATATTTGTTGAGTGACAATCGATTCTATGTACAAAAACGCTTAACTTTGACAGTCTATTGGTTATTTTGAAACTTTAAAATGTAGTAATAATGCTTCAATTTCATCATTCCAAACTCAAAAAAACAAATGTGGGTCGAAACCAGGGTTGCCACCTCTTTTCTTTATAGACCAGATAGAATAGTTTTTTATTTTGCTAGAACAAAAATTAAGTACATCCTCTCTGCCGCACCCTGTACATAGCATAAAACAATAGTGTTTATTCACTCTTTTCACTATTTGTCCTTAAACATATATTTGCTGTTGATCTTCGCGACATTTAACAAATATTTGTCCGTCTTGAAGATAAATATCTATATACAACCTCTTTGCAATAATTATAATTCAAATTAAATCATACAATCAACTCATTTTTGATTTAATTGAGGGCAGCCCTATTTGTTTCATCTCTCCACCTTACTTTCACAAAGGAGTTAGGCTCTTCCAGTGAATACCTAAGTGCCATGGATAAAATGTATGAAGTAAACCTGTATATATTTGTAAAATCTTCATTTCTATTGAATATGTCTGGCCATTTTTGAGCTGTTGATATGTCAGACAAATATTTATTAATCTGCATTACATTTTCCTTTATTTTATTCTGAAGTATTGTTTATGAGTATAAACTGCCCATAACCATGGCAAGTTTTTGCAGATTTAGTGCATCAGTTATACCTTCAAAATGTTGAAAAGGGACACGTGACGTTAAATTTAAGTTACTCAGTAGAAACAAGCAGTTGTTATTTGATACATTTCCATAATTAGTCATAATCAATAACGAACCAGTTATAACCAGTTTTATTCAAAATGAGCTGATTTTGCGTACTTCAGTGGTGTCACAGATTATAAAGTACGTATACATGAAAACGGGGACAAAACTTTTAGAGTACGGGTGGAAACCCTAGACCTTTCTGAGAAGCATTGTATGTAGCGAAACCCAGGGGAAGAAGTTTTCTTCTCTTTCCTTCGTTCCTCTCATTTAGCTATTATATTACATGCAACTTTGTGTGTCATATATGTCAACAATTTTCACAATCCAATGGTAGTTAATCATTGCATTGGGTTTAAATGCTCTTAAAACACTCTGGCATATTTGGGAGTTGTGAGTTTAACGAGGAAAATGTTTCAATTCTGCGAGGCGGCATCTGCGGAGTTGACAACCCGGGTATGGGTGCAGGGCTTAGGAAACGCCTGGAGTATACTGAAAAGGTCGTAAAGTTTCGTTTCGAAAACTGCTACAACTAAGGCGAGCACACGACGTTTTATTGGTTTGATGATTTGTTCTGAGTATTGCGCTGGAAAGTTAGCAGGGAGTTGGGAAAGCCTAATTATATTTGTACTCGAAATGAACTGAGTGAGTTAGGTGCTGAAGTGATGTATCTAATAATTGGAACAAATAGTTCTCTCTTTAAAGATGTACGATTAATTAGGGAAAGGCAAGCTAGTTAGAATGATTGCAATATCACTGGACAATCCTTGACAGCCGACGTAATTTCAAACCTTCTCAATTCGCACACAGCTTCTCAGATCCCTTCGTCTTAATATACGCGTAGCCTTATACATTTCAGAGTCATCTGCAAAAGCGCCATCTGAAGAAAGCGATCCTAACTGGGTCACCATATACGATAATTTCTTTACAGAAGATGAATCTGTGCAATCACACCCATGCCCACTATTATCAGTAAGATGTATTAGGCTACGGGTACTACGGGAAATATAGATCTAACGAGTACGTCCGAGATCCTCATCAGAACAAGGCGGTTACACAGTGTGCGTTTCTGCGGCCTAGTAAATGCAGAGTGGTTGAATTTTGTTTTCTTGAAAGTCCTTTACTGAAGTTACTGTTGTTGATTGGAGGAAAAACAGAGCATGTTAATCCTTTAATATCTGGTAGGGATGGCAATGGTAACATTGAAAGGTTATTTATTACTGATAATTGGTGTCTCTCATATTTCATATATCACAGTTAACCGTTCTGGCACACGATAGTTATCAGTTTATCATTCTCCATGATGAAATAAACAAACTGAGTACGCAAAAATACGTAGCTCGTACGAAAAAAATCAGATCTGTTTGAACTCTCAAACGGTTCTGTCGACCATACTCTGCCAGAGTAAGCACGTTCATTGGTAAAATGATGTTTGCCTATTTGTACGAATTAGTCAAAACTGGTAAGAACAAAATCTCGTCACAATTCCCATCCATAGTAACCGTAACCCTATATATACACCACATTTCATTACCTTTGTAACCTGTAATCACTTTTGAATTTTAATTAAAATATATGAAATACGACAAATGTTTCATCATCCGTTGTTTTGGAGATGCCGAATAGCGGTAACGTTCTTCTGCTCGAAATTCAAGAAGATATGGTTACTGGAATAAAAGTTTTCTACTAAAAATTCGCTGCTATTAAACTGTACATGTTTGCACTCGATCACAATGCTACATGTGCTGACATTTATGATTCCTCTGTAATGTCACTTAAGGGATGCTCTTTAAAATCTGGACATTCAATGCTCTCTTCTAGTTTCAACCGTTATCATTGTCGCTTCCAACACGCGTATCAGACGGCCACTTTTCAGGGCCCATTTGCCTGGTCTGCCGTTGAAACTCTTTCTATTCCATAGACACACAGCAATGCTCAAGCAAAACATATATTATTATTGAGAAACTGTATTTCCCTGGTTGCACGAATTTTTTTAGTACACTAAATAACACCATATCCTCTTAATTCCTCATACATGCTCTTTCACCACTTTTGCACATACTAAGCCGCTTCAGAATCACAATTATCCTTCAACTAATCGCGCACTTTTTTTCACGTTACTATTCGCGCGGTGTATTTTGTACACCGTTGCAAATTATGATCCAAATATATGTTATGTTTGCTGTATAAGTTATACATTTGGTAATAAAAATAATTGTTGAACCTGAATATTAGGAAAAATAATAAACAAAATCAAATATCACAGAAAAAATGAGCTAAAAAATAAAAAGTATGAACATAAACAATAGTTCTCCATTCACCACTTGATCTGCCTTCCTTAAATTTGTGACAGGTGATAAAATTGTCACTATGTTGTTTACAGGACAGGAAATGTCTGAATTCTGATGGTAATGTAGGTATTGCCGCTCATTTAGAAAGATAAGGCTTCATAAACAACAGAGAAAGGGTTATTAGTAAATTTTTTCTGTAGTTGTGAGGGGATTCGGTGTGAGTGCCGTTATACATAATTTGTCTATTGATGCCTACTAGATTTAGCAACTGTAAGAAAAAAGCCAATGGCCACCTTGTTATCCTTCTGCCAACAGAATAAGTATTGCAAATTTTGTCTTCTAAGTCCCCCTTTGATCATATGATAATCTAAAATTATTTCTGGCTTGTTGGTATATAGATGAATAGTGAAGACATCGTGCATAGTTTAAATCAAAACCACGCATTTATTATTCTTTTGGATATGTGAAACTATCGTCACATCGTTTTGAACTCCAAAAAGGTGATGACCCGACTAACCTATTTTCATTTGGCAAAAAATCTATCGGCAACTCTCGCTTATGCATTTTTATGGTTCCGATAAAAATTACTTTCTCGTGTAGCATTTCCAGTGCCAAAGAGTTACTTGAATACCAATTATTGCAGGGTAAATTCTTATTATTTCCTTTTTCTTCTACTAACAAACGCTGAGCTATGGCGGTTGGTATAGCAGGTTAGTTGTATTGGTCGCCTGATTGTTTTCCGCAGTAAAACTCCAAATTACTCACATAAAATGTTCTAGCATCACAAAGACGAATACCCTCAACCCATATTTCGCGAGTCTGTTTGGTATGTACTGGACAAAGCTGCACCTTCCTCGAAACGTAATCTACATGTCGTCTATTGCCATAAATTCACCCTTGAGTAGTTTTTTTGTAGTTACTTATGAATTCTTGAAAAATATACTCTCACTCGGAAGATAGATAAATATAAAATATATAGTCACTGTAACACTTTGAAGACCGACGTGGCCGTTACGTTGTTATAAAAGTAGGTCTACGTATGTGGTTTCGTTGAGCGGCCAAAAACATGGAGAATTAGCGTTTAACAAAATTCATGGTTATTATAGGGAGTAGGTTCCTTTCTTATATTTCATGATGTGTTTCTCTGAAGTCTTCATGTTGCAATTTACGTTTTCAGTCAAAAAACGGTGCGAGTGTAGCCTCACTCGCGGGAACTCCTAGGGCGTCGATCAACTCACCAATGGGTGACTCGACGGACAAACAGATAGCCACCATAGAGTCACATCCGCGACCGATGCCTATCCCCACAGTCACCTGTGACCTAGCGTCGGACATCTCCACTAGCGACATAGGTGCACCCGACCCCAATATGGGACTAGATGTACACGAATCCAAGGATACCCTTAAGGTAAGTTTCATATAGTATTTATTCTGTTAGACAAATAAATTAATAAATACAAAAGTCAATTATAGGACAATATTACTATATTATTTCAGATTAAAGACAAAGAAACTGAAAAAAATACTACCTTTACAAAAAAAATTCCTTAGTGTACCAAAAATTCAAACTCTTATGGTACCGTTCGTATACTACACAGTGCTTTCCTTTAATTTCCCCCTCCCCTTGGATGTTTTGAACGGATCAATTCAAAAAATCAAAACTCTAGGCAATGAAATTGATGCGTGGATACCATATTTTAGACTAAAATTGACGGATGAAAATGTCAAGATGGCCGCTGGGAGCCATCTTGGAAAAAAAATATATTAAAACGGGGTCTGGTAGCACATCATTTTGAAGCTCCTGGCGAGTACTTTAAAACCCTAGAATATATAGTCAATACCTTTACCTACTACAAAATAGTGGTACATTTAATAATTACTTGAACACAAACCCACTAACATACATATCTATACAAATAATTGTAATTCCCTGCCGTAACCACAGCAACAGCGATAAAAACTAGTTTTATTATTGTTTATATTGGCAAAGGCCAGTATATCAGTACGTAAACAAACATCATTGTACAGTTAAAATATTCTTATTTAGTTTTCGGTTTAAGTGCTAGATACTGTTTGGACTACTTGAAAAATGGTCAATTCTCGTCCATTGAAAGAAAAAGTCGAAACGATTTTTATTTGTGGTGCGACGCGTAGGGATTTTTAATGATCGTTCCTCGAATCGTTCTATCTGTAGAAAATATTTAAGGTAACTTGTATCTAAATTTACAGCTACTGGTAGTGTAAACAACAAAAAGCCCCCAGGACATCCGACCATGTCGGAAGAAAAGCAAGTTCAAATAATTCGTGAGATCATAGTAAATCCCAAAAGTCTACTTCCTCCATCGCGAATGTGTGTGAGATTTGTCCTTCTAGTGTATAGAGACGTTTGGAAAAGAATAAGTATCACCCATACAAAATTCAAATGGTACATCAGCTAACTGATCGAAGAACAGAATTCTGCGAGATTTTGACGGCAACCATTTCACGGCATCCTACCGATATAATAAAATATTTGTTTTAGTGACGAATGTACATGTTTTTTCAACGGTAATGTTCATAGACAAAATTATCGTTATTGGAGTGACACCAATCCTCACGTCTTCCGGAAAACACGTACTCAATATCCACAAAAAATTGACGTTTGGGCTGGGATATTGGGAAATCATATTGTGAGGCCTCTTTCCATCGAACAAACTTCAACCGGGGAACTGTATTTGGATATGCTGGAAAATACTATTGACCCTCTTATACTGATATTGTATTCCAGCAATTCGGTGCTCCACCACACTACTCCAGACAAATTAGGAATTATTTAGATAACAATTTCCACGGTCGTTCGATTGGCCGTCGAGGTCCTGTGGAATGGACAGCTCGGTCGCCAGACTTGACACCTTTAGATTTTTGTTTGTGGCTATTTGAAGCAAAAGGTGTACGAAGCTGAACTTACTTCAATATTGGATATACGGCCGAGAATAACAAATATAGACATAACTTACTCTGGTGGTTTTTCTGCGGAGATATGAAAAGTACAATGAGAATCGATCTAATAAGCATATTATGATCATAACTTCTATCGGGATAGGTCCTACAGTTCTAAATAACAAATATTTTAGAAAGCGCCGTTGTATTTCATCCAATTTCTAAATATGTAGGTTGTGATAAGGATACCAGATGATTGAGCAGTATTCAAGCTCTGGCCTGATCATAGTGAGATATAACGTTTTAATTATTTGAATGTTGTTAAATAATCTGCCATTCCTTATCAGAAAACCTAATAATTTGAAGGATGCGTTCAACATTTCTTCAGTAGGTATGGGTAGCAGATGACAGTATGATCGATTAACGCCCCCAAATCTTTTACTGTTTCACGCCGAATAATTGTGTCGTAATTTATTTCTTTCAAACCAAATATCTATAAGTTTGATAACACACAGACATTGTCAGAAGATCTAAAGTAGGTTAACTCAGGTTTATCCGGCATGCACATCGAACCGGGACAATGAACGCAGTCCAATGGACTCACGGAAATAGTGCGGTGGACTTCATAAACTCTTCCTTCAAACACGCAAACAGCTGGAACGGGAGTAGTCGACATATCATTTGTTCATACAGCCTGTTTGCTGACGATCAGCAAACTGATATCCGGTGACAAGTCATGTCCTAGATTATTCAATTAGCTGTCATTGACACGTCACTGACTGTATAGATTGAGTTCATGAGAACGTAAACAGTTAGCTGAGGAAGCTTGAACCGCACTGGTATTATGTGAAAAAGCCAATAAAACGTCAAAAAAACCTAGAAGATACCATCTTGTCGACTAGGTAGATTTTATGGTGCAAACAGTCATTCCACGTTTGCTCACCAGGATCGTTGTGAGCGTCCATCTATGGAGGAATGGCTCAACTACACACATACACGCATTGTTGGTTGCATATGTTTTGTGAATCCGAGTAGTCTATAATACTTTTTATCTCTGTGTGATTTTTTACGTTTTTTGCGTTTTCAATAACTTTGAGGAGAATTGCGGGAAATCGCCACTGCGCCCGTGTTGTGTGTAATTACTGTTAGCATATATATGTCTTGTAATTCGACAGTCTATAGTATAGTAATATAATTATTTGCGATCTCTCTCATTTTTAAAATTTAGCAAATTTGCAAATGTAATTTACACAATGGAAAAGAAAAAGTGGATGCGCAGCTAATTCCTAGTTTTGAATATCAAGTAAGTGTATTTGAGGCAAGAGTCCAATGGAATTATCATCACCACATATTATTAGCACACTATGAACCTATGCATTGCCGCTACCTACAGTAATGCCATCTCCGAAGCAGATTTCACATCCCATCAGAGCCAAACATTGATAACTGCAGCCTTATGACTTTTAGGCGACACACATGCAACTACAAAACGAGCTCACAACGTGTCCGTCAGCTAGTGTTAAGTTAACATCTTGTAGAAAAACTTACATAATGTCACAAAAAAACAATATGTCGGCATAATGTTACTTTTCAAGATACGTAAGTCCCGTGCCGATTACCGACAACTAAAGCGCTGTTCGTATAGAAACTTCTGACTGTTTGATGACTGTCAAATTAGTCAGCAGATTATAGGCCAGTAAATTGTCAGAGGTCGAAATCAAATACAATCATTATTCGAATGTATCATTTTTCAGCATGAGGTAGACAATTTTGGAAAACTCCAGGTATTTACATTTTCTGTGAACCAGAATATTTTAGGGCTTATCGCCCAATTGCCCGGAACTTCCTCAATTTTCCTTTAGAGGGCATAACACATTATTGAAAAAATATCAGTACTCAAATATGTCAAGTAGATTTTCTCAATAATTCCCGTTCAATACTCATTTACGAAGTATGGACATAAATTCTAAGGAATGTGATTCCACACTTCGAAAGACAAGTTGAAGAAGCCAATATAAAGGATTCTGGATGAACGTTTGCGATGATTATGCATGAAAAATGCACAAGGTACTAAATATTAGCTTTTCCTAACAAATGTCGCTCAGCCTTGGAGTGAATGCACAAGCAGTACTTATATTCTAGCTCATGTCCATCCGAAAGCTGAACGAAAACAAAGAACAAGATGACAAGTTTTGGAGATTCTGTGACACAGCTATTTTCAGGGGGAGGGAGGCGCAGTGTTTGACTATATTTGAAAATGGCGGACTGCAAGGCTGTGAAACGTGAGCATTTTCGTACATTGTACTAAATTTCACATGTATGATAATGATAACAAAAAAATGCTTTTATAGGTATACGTATACTCTCACTGGAAGAAAGAAGTAAGAATACTGCAAGGATTTAACAACGTCTTTGAAGAACAAAGGGAGAATATACTAAACTACTACTAAAAAGCTAAAGTGCCTGAGCATACTTACAATCACCAAGATGTGCTCACATAACTATAAGTTTGACAGAGTCCCCAACGGACAAAAAGGAATGAGATAACAGAAATTAATACATAAGCTATTTAAGCTGGAAATCACAAGTCAGTCGCGGTTTTACCCTTGAGACATACTACAAGCAGTGATACAGATAAATATAAATATCTGAGTTGGCAAAGTTGATCAACAACAACATGACAACCAGAGGTGGGAACAAAGTAAGACTTAAGTCCCATAATTTCGCATTTTGTAACTGTAATTAAAATTTAGGAAAGATGAATGTTCACAAAAAATAGTATTAATTATGATTCTTGAAAGTTTTGTCCTCTATTGTTCAGATTTTTTACACTGAGTCTAGAGACTGAATTTCTACTCTTGCAAGCCAATAAACAAAATATCGAGCACGAGGCACTTCGATAGCTTAAACTGACTTGGGATAGGATGAAACAGAATTTTATATTTAACGTTATAGTCCACAAAAAATATTAAAGGCGGGACAACTAGCCGAATATGCGTATAATTAACAGCCCAACAAAAATGTTTCTCTTTTGAGCGCCATCACTATTCTCTGTCACATCACTCAGCTCTGATGACATCAGTGCCTCTGACATAAAAATTAAAAACTTGACTGGCGAACAGATGGCCCTACACTTGTACCCTCAGGGTACAGCCTAAACGTGATAAAAATATAAAATCTAATTTAAAAATGATCAATTTATTGTTAAACAACAAAATTAGTTCTTTCTTGTCTTTCTGCGAATCGATTAATATATATTAATACTTACCATCTCCTTTGAATCCAGTGCAACAACTTCTTTGTGGTTTTATCCATCACAGTGGCGGATTTAAGTAATGCAAAAATGGACATTGCCGCCTCGGCCCACCAAGGAAGAGAGGTCACAGGGCTCCCCCAGCAAAAATCAGCTCTAGTGGCATTCAGTATTGAGCGTAATGGGTACCTAGCAAGTTCAAATGCAAAAGAAAAAAATAGACTCGATGATGGCTC